GGCCAATCAATCCGACCTACCAAATTTCATAAGGACCGACTATATCTTATAGCTGCCATATAACTGAACGATTGGAAATGATATAACTTTGGTGTTTTTAAAGTTAGGAAGTTGGGACTTTTTATGAGTATTAGGAATGCATCATATGAATAATTTTGGAGAATATAATTTATAGAATATTCTGCAAGGGTATATCAACTTCGGCTCCGCCCGAAGTTAGCTTTCCTTTCTTGTTTACGCATACCTTGATCAAAAATTGTTAAAGGCGGCGAAAATATAGCTTCCGTCCTCGTTGTGTGTGTAAGCTGATCAGATTATAGAGGGAAATGAACCCGGTTATATTCAAATTGTTTACCAAAATTATTACAATCTAATACTCTATTTCAAAACTATTTAGTTTATTTTGTGCAACCACAATTCTATAACCACAAATATATAAACCATTTTTCAAATATGCAATGGCGTCATAATTATACCCGTTACTCGTAGAGTAAAAGGGTATATTGTATTCGTGCAAAAGTATGTAACAGGTAGAAGGAAGCGTTTCCGACCCTATAAAGTATATATATTCTTGTTCAGGATCACTAGCCGAGTCGATCTAGCCATGTCCGTCTGTCCGTCTGTCTGTCCGTCTGTCTGTCCGTATGAACGCTGAGATCTCGGAAACTATAAAAGCTAGAAGATTGGCATTTTGCATGTAGATTTTAGGAGTTCCTACGCAGCGCAAGTTTATTTCAAAATGGTGCCACGACCCCTCTGACGCCCACAAACCACAAGCAGTGGCCACAGTTTTGATGCTATTATGAAAATTTTAATTGATATGTATTTATTTCGTCAATACCTATCGCTTGGCCTAATAAAAGTTTGCCACGCCCACTCTAACGCCCAAAAACCCATTAAACGCTCAAACCTGGCTATCGCCTACATTTCCGCCTTTCATGGCCCGTAGCGCCATCTAACGGATGACTTTGGAACAGCTGGCCAAGGTGCTAATTCGAGCGGCGAAAAACATACAAGAAGGCATATTTATATTAAGTTGTTTAGCTGAGTAACGGGTATCTAATAGTCGAGGCACTCGACTATAGCGTTCTCTCTTGTTATCACTTATTATGTTCAAAGTAATAAATAAAGTACGAAAATTTTGAAATAAACTTGGGCTGCGTAAGAAAACATAGAATCCTAACAATAAAAATTCAAAATCGCTAGTTTTAGTATTTTCCAAAATCTCGACGTTCATACGGACAAACAAACTTATAGTGTCGGAATCGCTGCCATCAGCCTGTTATTTACTTTCCAACGAATATAATGCATTTACTCTACCAGTACCGGGTATAAAGAGGTGAAGTTTGCTTTAATTTAACAAATTACGAAATGCAACAGCAAATTTTAAAAAGTTAATGTCAATCTACACATAAAATGAACTTCAAATTAAATTTACGTATGTGGATTTCAGCTCGGACCCCAGTATGCGTGCTCGGCCCGAACCTCTGACCAAATTTCTGAATGGCTAATGGTTTCACATGTTAGAGCAGCAACTGTTTTAACGGTTTTGAGAAATTAAAAGTTTTACAAGAGTTACAAAAAAAGGTACACTTAATTATTGAATAGCTTATAATTGGTAAAGATATTAATATTTGCAAAAATTTTTGCGCGCCTACCGAAAAAAATGAATTACTCAAAACTTTGCACTAGTTTTTCACTTTTCTTGTAAGTTTTAAATAAATCAACATTGATTCATTATAAGGAAATATAAGCTTAAAATTCATTAATATATCTCTTACCAACCCGCGGTGACAAAAAAAGGTAAAACTTCAAGGAAAACAAGAAAGGAAAGCTTACTTCGGGCGGAGCCAAAGTTGATATACCCTTGCAGAATATTCTGTAAATTATATTCTCCAAAATTATTCATATTATGCATTCTTAATACACATTCTTCTTTTGAATTTGACATATCTACCCTTTTGCAGCCTCTTTTATAATGCAAGGGAGTTCGGTCACTACGAGCAGTAACGGTCATAAAATTAATTATAGGATACTGTCGGCCTTATGAAATTTGGTAGGTCGGATTGATTGGCCAAAAATAAAACCCATAGAAAATCCCAACTTCCTAACTTTACAAACACCAAAGTTATGGTATTTCCGATCATTCAGTTATATGGCGGATATAGGATATAGTCGGTCGACCCCGGCCGTTCCGACTTATATACTGCGCGCAAAAAAACAAAAGTTTCAATTCGAAATCTTTAAAACTGAGAGACTAGTTCGCGTAGAAAGAGACAGACGGACATACAGACAGACGGACATGCTTATATCAACTCAGGACGCGATCCTGATCACTGCAAGGGTATACAAATCAGAAGTATTTGCTATCTATTTGAATCTTGGTCTCTTTAATAGCTGCCGAACGGACTTCGTTGGTCTGAGAAATCTGAAATCGATTGCAAGAATTTTGTGCACTTCAAATAATTATCAGTAAACTAACAAAAACTCTGTTAAACATACATTTTTTTGTTTTTAATTTCTTTGTACGCCGACAAATTTTTCTTGTCAAAGTACCTTAGAATATCCTTAAGGGCCCTTTCTTGCAGAATTTTTACTGTTTGCCAAAAAATTTTAATACAATTGTTTTAAAAAGTAGGGCAATAACATTTTGTCTATTTTGTTAAATTTTGCTCAAATAAACGTAAGTATTAACTTTATAGTTGCACACTATTTTGAAACATACCAAAAAATATGTATACTATCCTTGATTTCAGTGCATCCATATACAAACAACAAGTTGGGTTATTTAAAAAAAAATTTTTTTTTTGCCTGTGAAATCCTTGCGAAGAACACTTGTCTCTGTTTAATGTCAATGTGGGGCAGATAGATCAGGTTACTTAGCCATGAATGATAATCAAAAACAGGGAAACTCAAACATTTGAAGTGGCTTTTGATAAACCATTAAATAAAACTCAATATCACGAGGATAACAAGGACCAAAAGTTGGTGAGACTTTGGGGTGGTGGGCATTTCGAAATCAAACAAGAAACTGTCAAATTTAATTGAAAACGCCAATTCATCATAAGGGAGGACTGCTTATTCACAGTGGTCAGCCTCCTTCCTCTTTTATGTAATTGAATACCTGCTCTATTCAAGGATAATCGCATCAGAATAAGAAGCTAACGAAATTAGCAAAAAAAAAACATACCGAGTTCTGGAGTATTTTTGACGCGTGCACCCGCCACAAGCATCATTATATACTAATTACTCGAGTATTATTGAAACGCATTCAATCGAAATGGAATAACGAGTAGCAGTTTCTGCCCGGTCCACTGCATTTGCACACCGCACTTGGTCCTGAATTGGTTACTCAAATCTGACCGCAATTCACCGAGTACGAACCCTTACCCGCTTCCCCTTTCGAGCTGGTCTTTCACTTTTGGCTTGACTTTCCGGCGCCCGCGGCATTAAGAGCCACTGAAATGGCAATAAAAAGATTATAGCCTGAAGGTGTGAAGTGTAGTGCAGTACAGGCATCGCGTCGAGCCAGAGTCCCGGCCGAGCACCGCACAAAAGACACAAAAGACCCAAATAACACCCCCAACGGCGAGCCAAACATGTGCTGGATTTGTCGGATTTGTTCCCAGCATCTCACTCGACTCGAGTGAGACTGGTCGAGTGTTTTTCTTGCCGAGTGCGCAGCCATGTTGCTATCGCTTCTGGCATCCAATCAGCGAAGAAGAGCGGGAGTGCATGTCCGCCAATGGCGCGAAGTTTCTTTGAGTTCTGCCCTACATCTCAGAATGGACGGCCTAAAGTCTTGAAGAATTTTTTGTAACTGCAGGTGCTTAACGCTTGTAATCTGACCTAAAATATTTAGATTCAGAAACAATATTTCTCAAATCGATTGTTCTTGTGGTAGCTATTTGACGTTGCTGACATATATAGTACCTGGAAGAGAAAGAATACTCTCTAAAACCAAATGTTTTGATTTCTCACTAATTACGGCTTGGACCAATTACGTTACCAATTGCTAGCTTCCTTCTTACAACAGAAATAGAGTAACATGTAGAGGGCCAAACATTTTAATAATTTTTTAAAGGAACCAGGAAAAAGCTTTTTTTGTTTGCCCTAGACAAGTTTTTAATGAACTATGAGATCACAAGGGATTCACAAGAGGATAGGTTTTCGAAAATAAATTCATTAAAATAATAAATTACCTACTTAGAAAAAGTTGATCGTAAAATTGATCACATTTATCAAAGATCTTAATAAATATCCGTTGTAACCGTTAAAATTCTTAATTTTAATTGAAGGTAATACCGAAAATTCCGAAAGGTTATTTTATAAAGTAAGTCAGTCACATAAACTAACATTTTATTTTTGAAATCGTAAAAAATTGTATTATCTCGAATCTAGATAAAAAAGAAAAGGTTATACACATTAGTTTATTTAAAATGAATACTGAAATATAAACAAAGTGTTTCTAAGAAATATAATCTTTTGGGAACATTAAAGTGTTGTTTAGCTTTGCATTACTATTCCAAACAATTCCTGCTCCTAACTGACCTACTTATACCTTTTCGGATTATTTTCAAATGATTTAAATTATAAACAAATCGTTAGTCTAAACAAATTATACAGATACCATTAGAATAGGATCGCATTCGAAAGACTGTACCTAAACTCTATTCGGGAGAGCAGCTAGCAGGGCAACAAACAATAAACAGGATGCATGCACTCTCAAAACAATAAGGCGCACCATGCAAGTAGAAGCAACCGTATCCATTTTACGACAAATTTTGTTTACACACTTGAGAGAAACTCAAAGGCTCTCTAGCCAGATTTTAAACTTACCAATGGGAGGATTCGAATGCCAATCCACCACCAGATGCCGACGAACCACTTTAGAACGCGCACATTTCCACTCCGTGAAACCGAGTGATTTTCGCCGGGGATCTCGGGCGCTATTTAAAGACAGCCCGGAGCGTGCAACTCAAGCACATTTGCTCTGCAGCTCTCGAGCCGTTTAGACCGGAAAAGCAAGAAAAAACCGGAGTGTACAAGTGTCGAAAATTCCATAGAGAAATATTCAAGGAATTACAAAAATGCTTAATATGGAAAGTGCGGGTGTGGGTGCAGCGATGGCCGGTCTGAGCAAACCGCTCACAACGCCCTTCTCCATCAACGACATTTTAACGCGCACCAATGCGGAAACGCGTCGCATGTCCAGCGTGGACTCCGAGCCGGATTCGGAAAAGTTAAAGCCCTCTGATCGCGAGAGGTCGGCCTCCAAATCGCCGTCCCTCTGCTGCCGAGATCTCAGTCTCTACAGTCTGTCCCAAACCAAGGAGGCGCAGCCGAATTCCAGGCAGAGCACCAACTATCTGCAGTACTATTCGGCGGCGATGGACAATATTAACCATCACCAGGCAACAGCACCATCGAACTCCAGTGCAGCAGACTATATGCAGCGCAAATTGGCATATTTTGGGTCCACGCTCGCTGCTCCTTTGGACATGAGACGCTGCACCAGCAACGATTCCGGTAAGTAATCGAAAAGTGAACCGCATTCAGAGTTAATGGATTTTGGGGAAAAGCACATCTTTTGTTCGGTCTTTTGTGTGTGACGCTAATTTTCCATTATTTTCCGCTTACAGACTGCGACTCACCGCCGCCTTTGAGCAGTTCGCCCTCCGAATCGCCTCTGTGCCACGACGGCAGTGGGTTGAGCCGCAAAAAACGGTCGCGTGCCGCCTTTAGCCACGCCCAGGTCTTCGAGCTGGAGCGTCGTTTTGCCCAACAGCGCTATTTATCCGGCCCGGAACGCAGCGAAATGGCCAAGAGCTTGCGGTTGACAGAGACCCAGGTGAAGATCTGGTTCCAGAACCGCCGCTACAAGACCAAGCGCAAGCAGATCCAGCAGCACGAGGCGGCTCTTTTGGGGGCCAGTAAGAGGGTTCCTGTCCAGGTTTTAGTGCGGGAGGATGGCAGCACCGCCTACGCCCACATTGCTGCCCCTGGGGCGGGGCACGGCCTGGATCCAGCTCTGATCAACATCTATCGCCACCAGCTGCAGTTGGCCTATGGAGGTCTGCCGCTGCCCCAAATACAGATGCCGTTCCCGTATTTTTACCCGCAACACAAGGTGCCTCAGCCCATCCCTCCGCCCACTCAGTTGTCCAGTTTTGTGTCCGCATCCTCGGCATCCTCGTCACCAGTTCCCAACCAGGGGACAGTGCGTCCTCAGCGGACCCCTTGTCCCAGTCCTGCTGGCCAGATGATGAGTGTGGAAAGCGGAGTCGAGAGCATTCATTCAGCGCCGGAGGACGGCGACGAGAATGTGGAAATCGACTAGGTGGCGATGGGAGATATCCCGAAGAAGAACAGGGGTTACGTTTTTGTGATAGCCGTGGCAGTTGTGTTTTATATGTTTAACCAATAGATGTACCATAGCTTTAGTAGCCTTAAGTGTTAGTTGTATCTATCCGAGAGCTAAATAAAATCATAAATGGAAAAAAAATGTTCGTATTTTCTTGCTGGCTAATTTGTTTATCGTATTGGATATTTGGATAAACATTTTTAATTTTTTTTTGATCAACTTTTATATTTTGAATATTTGGCTAATATTACTTATAGTTAATCGTTTTGTGGTCGATTAAATGTCTTTTTTATGCCCTTGCAAAGGGTGTTTTAATTTTAGTCAAACGTTTGCAACGCAGTGAGGGAGACATTTCCGACCCTATAAAGTATATATGTTCTTGATCAGCATTACCAGGCGAGTCTAGCAATATCCGTCCGTCCGTCCTTTTATACGCAAATTAGTCCCTCAGTTTAAAAGCTATCTGCTGGAAACTTTCTATTGCAGGTATACTCATACCAAAATTAACCCTAAAAACAAGAAAATCGCCTTATTATACCCGTTACTCGTAGAGTAAAAGGGTATATTGTATTCGTGCAAAAGTATGAAACAGCTAGAAGGAAGCGTTTCCGACCCTATAATGTATATATATTCTTGATCAGGATCACTAGCCGAGTCGATCTAGCCATGTCCGTCTGTCCGTCTGTCTGTCCGTCTGTCTGTCTTTCTGTCCGTATGAACGCTGAGATCTCGGAAACTAGAAAAGCTAGAAGATTGACATTTTGCATGTAGATTTTAGAATTTCCTACGCAGCGCAAGTTTGTTTCAAAATGGTGCCACGCCCCCTCTGACGCCCACAATCGCTCATATACGATTTTAAAAATTTAAATATTTCGGAAAAGTAAAAATGCAGTTTTATTGTGTTTATAAATACCTATCGAAATTTTTCAAATCGGACCATTCGTTAAAAAGTTATGCGTGATCAAAGTTTCTATCTCCATCACCCTCGCACTCCCATTACCTGAGTAACGGGTATCTGATAGTCGGGGCACCCGACTATAGCGTTCTCTCTTGTTTTTGACTTCAAAGGCATCGAACCTTAAATTTTATGTTAAATTTTCTTAAAAATGGGGCATCTAACCATAAATTTTAGGGTATTTTTTCATCATGATGTAATTTTTCATTCAGGATTTATGGACTTATGTATATTTATGTATGTGTATATACACATATATGATTTAAGCACTTCGCTTTTCTTTCAGAAAAGTCACAAAGTTTGTATTAGTAGTGCACTAATGAATTGCCAATATCGATTTCAACTGTAATTCTGCGGGGAAGAGAGAGAGAAATTAGTACAATTATGATTTATTTCAGTTCTTACAAGTAAAATCCGATAAGTAACTTATCCGAAAACTCTTATAATTTTATTCGCCCGCCGGTGGGATTCGAACGCAGGTCTCCCGCGCGTGAGTTCAAAGACATTGAATGGAGCCACGGTCGCGCGCGAAGAACGCACGGCAAACCAAAAAAAAGTTTTTAGAACTCGTTAAGTTGTAACTGGAAAAGTCAAAATATTTAAAATAAATTTTCTAAGATGATATTTCTTATGACAATAAACATATTAATTATTTTTCAATAAAAGCATTACTTCTCATCTGTGTTTATAACACAAATATTTCTATATTTTAGAAAATATTACTATATTTTAGAAAATATTTCTATATTTAAGAAAGAATTTTAGAAAATATTTCTATATTTAAGAAAGCGTTTCTATTTTTTTAGGGTTATCGAATTTTTTAGGTTAATTTGAGAAAATTTTTCTATTTTTTAGGGTAAATAATTTTTTAGGGCAGAATTTCTAATTGGAAGAAACAAATTTTTAAAAACAAGTACCATTTTTACTAAAATATAGAAATTCTTTCTTGGATTTAAGGTGAGTTTAGTTTATGGCGACAATTTCTACATTTGAGAAACACTTTCTTGATTCAAGAAAAGTTTTCTTGTTTTGAGAAAAAAATTCCTTGAAAATAGAAATCTTTTCTTGGATTTAGAAAAAATAAAGTTTTAAGGCGAATTTCTAAAATGTAGGGTTAATTTTTCTATGAGTGTATGCATTTACCATAGAAATGAGGAAATTAATAAGGTGTTCTAAATGATAGATAATACGGAACTAAAATATAATATTAAAAAAATCTGTGGTGAAAAAAAACGGCCTTAATTTAAAGATATCGAGTTTTGATATATTTTCTGTAACAAAGCTATAAATGTGGTACTTATAGCTAATTAAAATTTTGACATGGAATATTTGTAGATCGTATAATATTTTAAAACGATTAATGATGAATTCAATCAAAGAGTTCTTGAAACTCGCAGGCGGTTGTCTTACAAATTGATGCACATGACCTCAATTTGCATCAACAGGCGGGAGAGTGTTCTCAGGCTCCTCAGACTCTTGAGAAATGACAACGATCGGGGGGAAGAGGGCGTCAAGATGCGTTCTGCTGAAGTGGCCATGCGTGTGGCCGGAGCCTTGCGAAAACCAATAGCCGCTGATGATGACCGACTATGACGGCCCACTCAATGTCGACATAGAAGTGCTTCAATGTGTCAGATGGGTCGGGACAGACGCCTGTGGCCTACAAACCAGTGACTTACATACGGTTCACCCCAGTGCTTTGCACAGGATCATCCCGGGAGGGGGAGGAATAGGTTCGGAATCATAGACATGTCCTTATCAGCACAGTTGGTGGCTGACGACAACAAGAACAGGCCTCAAAAGCCAGGCGGCGACAATTCTAAAGGCCGGCGATGTTTATAAACAAACAAACAAACAAGTAGAAAAGGACATACAACCAGAAGGAAGGTAAGCGTGTGATCATTGTTGAACATCCACTTCAACAGGGGCGTTTAGCAACAATATTGCGCATTTTTCTTGCAGAACATTTTTAAATTTCCAACACCATCATTCACCCTTTTCTACACTTAGAAAAAACGTTGACCTGAAGCCTAAAAAATATTTCGATAATTGGCGAGGCCAATTAATTTATAAACTCTATATATATACATAACAGAGTAGAAATGGCTTTTTTTTACGTGATAAAAACCTTTTCTCTACGAGTAACGGGTTTAACAATATCTATTTTGTTATGACAGTAATTTTTATTAAGTTTTCTTTCTAAATGTTTAAATTTTAAGACAAAAATATACACTCCTATTTTTGGGGTGATCTTTCTGAGTGTCTTTGAAAGTGGGACATTGAACGTGCTGGTCTGGTGACTGCCAACTGAAAAAACAATTCGATCTCGAAGTACGCATTCTGCTTTGGGCGCATTCTTAGACTAAAAGCCCGTCGGTATTTGACAAATTTAGGACACTAAAATCAAGTGACAGTTGTAATTACTTATGTCAATAATTTGTCCAGCACTGCGAGTAAGTACATTTTTGCCGCTCGTCATAATTCTTATTTCAAATAAACATTTATATGTATAAGGACATTTTGCCACTAATGAATAAAGTATTACTCGTTACTATACCCTTGCAGAGGGTTGTATAATTTAAGTCTGTTAACAACGCTGTGAATAAGACATATCCGACTCTGTATACGCACTCTTTATTAGCGGCCCCAGGAAATTGGATCCATCCATTCACGCCTGTTTCTTCGCAAACTAGACGCTCAGTTGTAAAGCTATCTAGATTAAAAGATATATATGAGTCGAAGAGGGCCTTATCGGAAAAATAATTTAAATCTAATAAATAAAATGATTATACTTGACAATTTCAAACACGTTCTGAGTTTTATAAAAATCGGACGAACTAAAATAAAGCAAATTTACATAAGTTCGTTGATTTAAACAAATACGGAAAAACCTTGAGATTCAGATAATTTTTTTGCGATTTTAAAAAACTTTTTTATTTATTATTTTTCAATTATCATTATTTATCTAATAAAACACCGTACAAAATGTAATCACTGTTTTTAAAAACATTCAATTAACTTATTATTTTATGTTCCCTTATTAATCCCGCGGTAATCCTAATGATAATAAACAATATTGTAGAAGTATTTAAGTATTTAAAGCTAAGATTTTTAAATCAATTATAGCAAGGAAAGAACGATAAAAAAATATATATATATATAAATATATATTAACTTAATAAAAGATTTAGAAGAATAGGACAAATCTGAAGGCATTATTTTCGAGCTCAAAAATATATTAATTAATGAATTGCCAAATGGGAATATCCAAAAATTAAGAAGTGATTCAAATTAATTAAATTATTTTGTAGAATATTTCAAAATATTCAAATTATTATATTATTATAATTGTTTTTTCATTATAATTTCAATATCTATTAAGAAAATGTCTCGAGTGAAAACCCAAATTGAGTAGTTTTTATATGGGTGAACGTGAGGGCCTTTTTTGAGTCCCTCCCCACTCCACATTCACCCAATTGTTCGCCGTGATAATTCATGGTCTCTTTGACTTTGAGTTTCATTTTTATAGCACGCTTTGGATGTGGAATTACCGCGCTGAAGGGTTGAAAAAACACGCTGCATGTGGTCTTGGAGTGAAATCCGTTTGTCCTGCTGCCGGCGGCTTGGCTACTAATTTGTTTATACTGCGCCGCCCGGATTTGTTTATGCAACCTTTTTTATGACACACATGACGGAGTGCTACGAATTGACATCTACTTGCCAGCAATTCGTTTAAACAGGGCCGCCGATATTTGTCTTGAAATTAATACAAAAACTAGTCATGTGGCGCAAGTGGCGTATGCGCAATCTTTGAACTGCAATTAGTCGCCGCCTGTCACCGGACGTCCTCGAGTCTGGTAAACAATTTTAGCGATATTCGCTATTTGCTTAAACATTTTTGCAGGCCTGCATTCTTAAGCAGAGAGTGCAGTTAATGGCAAAATGGGAGACTCAAACGAAAATGCCAAAACCGTTGCCCGGACAGCTTAAAGTGTAAACAAAATGCCCGAAATGTTCACTTATTATAAATGCACTGGATTCTTGTTTTGGCCCATTTGGATGCACTTTGCTTAGCGTTTTGGCATTGCCTTCCCATACTCCTGTTCATTACGCCGCCCCTCAAATACCCGACCCCGATCCCCACCCAA